CTCTAAGAGGCTGTAAAATGTGTGTATTAATTAATGCATTCAGGTACTTACCGTGTGACTCTGGGCCGCTAATGAGCCATTAAAAACAATCACAAGTAATCAGAAACAATGGAAAGAACGCGCTACAAGTTTGGGGTGCCTCTTGGCCATACAGTCACGGCCCACCCAGCATCCTGGCCAATCATGGGGCGTCCTAGAAGCATTTAGGACAGTGTTGTCCAAACTTGGCCACTTTAAGATGAGTGGACCTCCACTCCCCGAATGCTGGCTGGGGGAATCTGGGGGGTGAAGCCCACTCATCCTTAAGTGGCCAAGTTTGGACAACACTGTCCTAAATGCTTCTAGGACGCCCCATGATTGGCCAGGATGCTGGGTGGGCCGTGACTGTATGGCCAAGAGGCACCCCAAACTTGTAGCGCGTTCTTTCCATTGTTTCTGATTACTTGTGATTGTTTTTAATGGCTCATTAGCGGCCCAGAGTCACACGGTAAGTACCTGAATGCATTAATTAATACACACATTTTACAGCCTCTTAGAGCCACTGGAGTGGGGGGCATTCCAATCCACCAAGCACACTCCACCAAAAAATAAGTAATATTCCCATCAAATTCACTAAATCTACAATGCAGGGGTGTCTGTAAGGCATGGTAAGAAACAGTCAAGATCGAGCAATCAGTACACATAAAAACAGGCAGAGCCTTGACTGCGCTCTCACGGCTGCCATCCTGACTTTTCTGACCACACCCTGCAGACACCCCTGATTACCGGGCTAAGACATTCTACTGGAATAGAAGAGTTAAGCGTTTACAGAACTACGTTTTGCCTTCTCACTCCCCTATTGTGCTTGTTTTTCCTGCAAGTTTGGGATCAGAGGCTGAGAGACGCTCACCCATCGCTCCATCAGTCGGCATAGAAATCTTTCTCACGCCGTGTCGATGCCAGTCTTTGCTTTTCGCTCGGTGCTTGATTCCTGCCTCCTGCTTCTTTGTGCTGAAGACGGGTTCCTTTGCATCCAACCCCATGGCATTCTTATCTGGACAGCTGGAGGACTTCTCCAGGCGGGGGTGTCTGCCTGCCACGTCTTTTCTGTGAACCAGCGGGAGAACGGGCTCCCCCCCCGATTTTCCCAAGGCTTTTTTGACCCTCCCTGGGCCCTCGGACGGAGATGCTACTGGGTCCTCTGCAGGCCTGGTCTGTCGCTCCTGCCACTGTGGCTCCTGAAAGTCAGCCCGAGGCACCCCTGGATGTCGAGCAGTTGGGGGCGATGGCGGTCCAAGCTGGAGAAAGTGCATTGGGTTAGTAAAAGCTAAAAGGGAAGGTGTCTGCTTTACATTTCTGGAGTCTCTAGTTTCACACGGTTTCTCACAATCTCCTGAAGGATGGGAGATGCGGTGAGAAGACCTTCCATCATGAACATCTGCACACTTGGACACCGTTTCAGGAACACAACTGAAGGAATCTGCCACTGTTGCGCCATTTCCTAAAAGGTCACCTTGCAAGTCCGACAAATAAAAACCCAACTCAGGGCATGTTTTATCAGAGGCTGAGGTCCAGTAGACAAGATTGTCAACCGTTAGACTAGTATGTGTGTGTTCATCACTTCCTGTACAGGAAACAAGCAGGCTGCTTTCTGAAGCCTCGGCTCCACGCTGTGCAAAGGGATTGCCCCCAGCGGTTAGATGCTTCCTGGACCTGGAATCTGGTTGGGGACTGTGAGAGCCCCCGCTAAGAGAAACGAGTGGAAGTTGCGTCAGAAGGCTGTTGCCAAGTCCAGCAGCTGTAGACTGTGCGATGTGTCTGGAGTCAGTCCGCTGGAAGGCTGCACTGCCAATGCGCGAAGGAAACACAGCTCGCTTGGAAGCAGTGGGAGAACTGGCATCGTGCGACTCTTTAGAGCCGTGTACGGAGCGTGGAGCCCGGCAGCACAGACCCAAGTCACTTCCAGAGGTGGGGGGCTGCTCAGGCGATCTGGCTTCAGGGGTTACGGCTGAATGCTCCAAAACAGCCTGGGTGGCAGGAGTTCTGGGGGCTAAGGATGGATCGGCCCGGCTGGGACAGGACAGCTGTTCTAGGAGCTGGTCAGGAGGCCTGGGAAGGAGGCCTGGGGGAATTGGCTGGGCATCAAAAGTTGCCGGAGGTGGGCGGCTGACAAACTGAAGAGGCTTCCTAGAGGAGGAAAGTGAAGCCAATTCAAGAACCAAAGTCTGCTCAGAGTCACCTACTAGAACTGGGGCCAAAGGCTGCGTTAGCTGAGCTGCATCAGCAGCCACCGCAGAAAGAGTCCGGGAAGACGGAAGGCTGTCAGCATTACAGTCACATTCAGTTCTGTCTTCTTCAAGAACTGAAAAACATGGTGACTCACTGGTTAAGATATCTTGTTCCGTGCAAAATGTATCTGCTGCTGCTTCCTTCTCTGATAACACGGCATTCTTACTGGTTGGTTTAAGTTGTTGAGGGAAATTCTCCACATAACTTTCAGTAGTGTCTTGCACTGAATCTCTTGTAGTAACAGATGGATAAAGACTTAACTTTACCATCTCTTTGGCTATATTGGACAGACCTTCTTCTAGAGATGGGCTGGGGGGGACTTTGGAGGTAGAACTCTGAGCGTCTTCAGGGAAGTCCTTACCAAAAGTGGGCAGATGATCATCTCCATCACTGTCCAATGCTGAAGCGTCTTCACATATCGCTCTGCCCAGTTGACTGGAGAGATGTAAAACCGACTTGTTTCCTGCACAAGTGACAGTCCCACCTGTCGCTTCCTTGCTAGCATCTTCCTGTAGTACGGCTGCTGCTATGGCCCTCAGCGATGGGACAGGACTCTTTTCAGCATCAAAAGAATGGCCCGTAGGTTGAGAATCATAAAGATTTTGGGGGTCAATGGCTAATGCTAAATCTGTAAACAATTGTGTTATTTGTTCATAATCAGCACTCCTTACACTTTCCTCTGTTCCACTATTTTTACTATCCTCTTTTTCAGTATCATCTTTTCCGACACCCACAGTGAGCTGCGCACCATCCTGATCACAACAGAAAATTGTGTTCGCTTTGTCATAGGTGCCAGAGTGTTCCAATTGTCTAGAGCTGTGATATACGGGAGGCCGCGTCCTTGGGCTCCCACTACCTGCAGGGGCCATTCCAGCTAATGGGATAGCTGTTGTTTGGACACAGGATTCAGGCAATGCACAGACTGATTTTGGAGAGCGACCTGCCGAGGAGACCTCCTTGCAAGAGAAGGCAGATTCTTCAGAACCAACCACAGAACTATTATTGTTCACACCAGAAAGAGCCAAACCGTTTTCCGAAGAATCAAGTGTGTCTCGATCCAATACAATAGGCGTGGGGGCCCTCTCCATTCTGGAGGCTGTTGTTGCTTGCATAGCCCACCCTTGCTCTTCATGGTCGTCATGTCCCAATTCTACTTCCCCCAGATTTGTTTTCCTTTGGCTCTTCACTTCTTTCCAATTCAAGTCCTCCTCTCCTTCCTCCTCGCTGTCTGCCAACTCCAGTGCCTCCATCTCTGCAAATTCTGGCTCCGCTGCTGCTGATCGCTCTTTTTGGACCGATTCTGATTCATCACAATTCATATTGCTCTTACTGTGATGGGTTTGGACATTTTCCTTTACTGAAAGAGGGCTGCTTATTCGCATTTCACTCTCTTCCTCTTCCTGGAGATGAAGAACAGGGCAGTTGAACGCATTTTGCTCCAAATTTCCTACTCCGTCTTCAATGTCTGAATGATTCTCCACTGCCTTAGAAGATAGATGGCATGAAATGCTGTCTGTCTTTCTTTGTGCCACATCTAAATTTAACTCCTCTTCTTCTGAAGGATTGCCCAATCTTTTACTTGCGTCTTCTCTTTCCAAGGAAATTTCATTGGGACTCATCACAATGTCCATTCCTTTAGAAAGGTTTCTGTTCTCCTCATGCTGTGTCTCTAGTTCCCATGAGTGATCTTCATTGGAACTGGTTTTGGGAAAATCAGCATTTTTGTGGCAATTTGAAATATTATGAATCACCAAGGGAGATTCACTGACAGATCCTTCTTGAGCAAGAAGAGTGTCTGTTATTGCTGGTTCCTCACGCCACGTCTGAGAGAGTGTGTCATAAGGACTCAGAGTTTGGCAAAACCTAGCATCAAGGACTTGGCTCTCCATCTGCCCCACACCAGCCCTCCTGGGAGAGGTAAGAGCAGGGCTGGTTGCATCTAAAAGGGAAGACCGGGGACTGCTTGAAGAACGAGCTGTAAATTCCCCATCAGGGGAATTTGAGGAGGAGCCCCCGCTCTCCTTCAAACTGGGTTGTCCTCTGCTGGGGTTCCTTTTCCCCTCCGAAAGTTCTGCCCAGTTCTCCAGATCCCTCCACCCTCTTTCCCGTTCCTCGGAGGTATCCTTCTCCATGGAGTTAGAAGATTGGTCCCATATATGTTCTTTCATAACAAAGAGAAGTGCTAGATCATGAGGGAGAGACAAATCTTCCTTCTCTTCCACCTCCTCACTTCCAGGAACATGACTCATGATGATCGTCTCTGTGACATCATGGTGCCTTCTGGCTGGGGCAGGGTTAGAGGCTTCATGTGCTCTGTGGGTTGTCAGCAGAAAAGGGTCTCTCCCCTGGATTTTCTCAGACTCCATCAGTGATGCTTCCTGAAAAGAAAAAAAACAGCGGTTACTATTATGGCATGATTGAACTGTACATACATATTGCCCATGGGCATTATTGTGGGGAGGTCAGAAATATAGCTAATCAATATTAAGAAGGGAACCGCTAAGAGAAAAGGATGGACAAAGATGACAAAAACGTAGAAAAAAATACAGAATGCAAAATTCAATTATTTCAGTTCAACCTACACATTACATAGAATTAATTCCACGGTTAATTCCATAGATTTTTTCCCCCAGATCTACAAATTTATGGTGTTATTCTCCTAATGTTGTTTCAAATCACAGTCATCGAAGCTAAGATCATTACACACAAGTACACACATGGGAGTTTAATTAATTGTAGTGCTAAACACAGGGGAGGGCATAAGAGCCCTGATGGCATTACCAACAACGCCGAGGATGTCCCACTGAGAGCCAGGGTGGTGTAGTGGTTAAGGCTAAGGCTAAGTAGACCCAGGATCAAAGCCACCTCCAAGTCATGGAGCCTCTGTGGCCAGTCAGTCTCCCTCAGCCCAAACTGCCACACAGAGTTGCGAGTTTTTTGGGGGGGGAAACAGGAGAAGGAACGGCTGTGTGCGTTGTGGTGAGCTTTTGGACAGGTCTACCTATAACATCTAAATCGAGCGATGAGCCCCTGCTGTCGCTGGACACAGCGGCCAAATACCGAGATCCATCAGGAAGAGATCCTTCATAAGCCACATCTAGGTTTTCTCACTGAGCAAACTTTCTGAGTTTGGAAAGACTTTATATCAGGCAAGTTAGTTTAAGCAGAGATGAAAGTGGGGAGGAAAACGAAGTGTGTTTAATAGAGCTGTGCATGTTCAAAGTGATTGGGAAGAAAGACCTCGCAGAAGAGTGAGCACAAAGTTTTTTATTCTTTACTCAGTTGTTTGGTCTGTCTTTTTCAGGCTTCTGCACAAGCCTGAAAAAAAATGCACAGCTTTAAGGCGTCCACCCAGTGCAGTTCACGCAACTTGTAAAGCGATGGTGGTGGTGCTGTTTTTTCAGGGTCACAGGTAAGACAGAAGAAAGAGGGCCGCTTTAATGAGTATCAGAGAGATGCAAAGCTCCCATGAGGTCCACAGTACTTCTGAATCATTTTCAAAGTCCGCACCAGGAGCATCAGGGTGTGGTTTCAAAGGTACCAAAATGGCAGCTGCAACTACTGTATGCAGTAGAGGTCCTGCATGCGTGTACAAAGGAGTGGGGCTTCTATTGTGGGGTCGTGGCTGCCGGGGGACCTGTGTACAATTGCCCTTAGTGCACCAGTTGTGCCCATTCCTGGATCAGAAGAGCCTGCTCATGGTACTCACACCTTGGCCACCTCCCAACTGGACTATTGCAATGCGCTCTACATGGGGCTGCCCTTGAAGACCTTCCAGAAGCTTCACTTGATCCAGAGTGCAGCAGCACGGGTAGTTATAAGCACATCTCGTTATGCCCCTGTAACACCACTACTTTGCAAAGAGCACCGGCTTCCAGTAGGGTTCCACGTGCGATGCAAGTTGTCATCTTTAAAGTCCTGCATGGCACAGACCAGATTATTTGAGGGACGGCCTTCTCCCAAGAACATCTGCCCACCCCACACGCTCCCACAGTAAGGGCACGCTCCAGGTTCCTTCCTTCTAATCGTGGCACCTTATGGGACCTAGAAAGTGTGCCTTTTCTGTGGCTGCCCCTATGCTCTGGAACAATCTCTCCCACCCCCGACAAACGTCACCTTTAGCAATGCAGTTAAGGCCTGGCTCTTCTCCCAGGTATTTGGGGCCAGTTGAGTGGGAGTCTCCTTTTGGTTGTTTGGTTATGTTGCTCTGTCACCATTTTATATTTCATAAAATATATAAACATACATACATGCATGCATGCATACATACATACATACATATATATATATGGGGTTTTTTTGGCAGGGGAGCTGTTACTCTTTGTTTTTTATGCTATATGCTGTCCAGAGCCACACTGTTTGAATTGGGTGGCCTCATAAACCATTAAATAAACAAAATAAATAAACAAACGAAATATTGGTTTTTTTGACACACACACCCCGCCACCCCCATGTGCCCCAGCCTACCCGGCCCTAAGCTTAAGCCAGGACTGAAAAGGGATTTCCTCCTTAGTGAGAAATGGGGTGCAGAGGGGAGAGAGACAGACTTGCTGTTCTTCATTATCTCCTTGCCATTCAGATCACCCGTTCGCTGCATGGATAAAAAATCAGAAAGGGTCTGATAGCACCTTTTCCAGCTAGCCAGGTGTGTTAAGAAGTATAAGCTCTCTGGACCAGATCCACAGAGTGGCTGCTCAATGGCATGGACAGCCATCACTGGGATATCTGGGGCTCCCTTCCGTGAAGCCCTCTTGTCAGCCCTCGGCTCCAGGCACAGCTTTGCCCTGTTCCCCAGAACCTTCTGAGGGCAACCCGATTTGCCCTCATCCTCTGGCTGAGTCGAGGTGAGAGGAAGCCTGAAGGACCATCCTTCTGGATGACTTGCACTGAGATGTCCTGCCCGTCGCGTAGTCTGGAGGGGAGGCAGAGCAGCGCTTTCGCTGCTCACGAAGCTCCTGGAAGAAGGAAGCCACACCAGCCAGCAGATAAACGCCGCTGTTCGTTCTTTCTTTCTTTCTTTCTTTCTTTCTTTCTTTCTTTCTTTCTTTCTTTCTTTCTTTCTTTCTTTC